CTGGATCCAAACATCACAGTCCCAGCAGTGGAGTCTAAAGCTGTGATCTAAGCTGCTCCAGCCATTAAGCAGGATCCCACTGTGCCAGGTGTTGTACTAACACAGAGCACCAAGACAATCCCCACCCCAAAGCCCTGACATATAGGTGTTTGCCTGTTTACTGGCGTATCATGTCATCACATCACTCCTGTCTCTACAGTTTGACTATTAACAGTGGAACTGTTTTCAGGGGAGAGAACAATGGGAGCAAGGACAAATCACCTTTTTTCTGGGTCTGTACAGCTTTGGCACAAGGAGATTCTGAGTTCAATGGGCCGCCTCTAGGTCAGCAGTTGGGTCGCAACCCAAATGAGGGGTGCGGGGGCAATGCCGGCAGTGCCACGCGCAAAGGATGAGCCGTGCTGGGAACTCCCCCACCCCTGGCCCACCGCCACTGCACTCCGCTCCCAGCAGTGGGTCGAGGCAAAAAAAGGTTGGGAACCACTGCTGTCGGTCCTACTCTAAGGCAAAATATAAGCAATAACAGTAATACTGCTTTACCAGATCAAATCAAATGATTTTACAAATCTCTTATTAAGTAGAATAGAAGAGGAACAGACGTGTTTTTTAACCTTAGGATCAGCTTTCCAGAGACTCTCTACCCAGGTGAATAGCAATACCTAAAACTTCCTCAGCTCTTTTCATTTGCAGGACTTGAATTCCTCTGCAAAGGAGGGTAAGTAGCATTCTCCGCATTTTACAGAGGAAGAAATAGAGGCACAGAAGAGCAGCGATATGCCGAAGCGCACGCGCATTCGGTAACAGAAGTGGTGGGAGAAGGACACAGGTCTGCAGGTTTACAAGTCACCCCCCCATGTAATAGATCTTGCTGCTCCCTGGACATCCTGGTTACAGGAGGAGTGCTGCCTTTTGAACTCAGGTCTTCAGAGGCAAATGCAGGGCAATGTCACTTTGGACTCTTTCTGTCTGAGGTGTGTAAATGTATGGTGCTCCCAGGCACATGGGTTTCTGGGATCCCAAACAGCCAGTGGATTGAAATAGTTCTCTGGTGAATACAAGCTTTTCAGTTCCCCTGTATGGCTCAGGCACCAAACGCTTCTAGGCCTGCTTCCTGTCGATTCCAGCTGCTTTTTGTTGCAGGCTTGCTGGCAGCCTTGCCTTGCTGGCAGCCAACGGCCAGTGCGTGTTTTGGAGCCTCGACCATCCTGCCCTTTGCTTCCGACAACTTAAACTGCGGTGACTTTTAGTCTGTTCAAAATGAAGTGCAGCATCGTGCATGTTACGTGAGCAGGCTCTCCATGTTGGGATGTGGTGGGCTGGCGTGCATCGGGGTATGCGGGATGCCAGCATGGATGGGTGCGTGCATGTGTCGGGATGACTGTCTGTGCGTCCAGGTGACTGTGCATGTGTTTCGATCGCTGGGATTGTGTTGAGGTGTCTGAGCGTGTGCATATAGCATGACAGATGTCAGTGTGAGTTGTGTGGATGTATGCAGGTACGTAGGCCAAACTCAGAGGTGACATAAGGTGTGAGTAGACAGCAAAAAGAGAGCGGGGAGGGGGTTGACATAGACTCTTAGAAAACGAGGGCTGGAAGGGACCTCAGGAGGTCACATCTAGTCCAACCTTCTGCTCAAAGCAGGTCCAGCCCCAACTAGATCATCCCAGCCAAAGTTTTGTCTAGCCGGGTTTTGAAAGCCTTCAAGGATGGAGCTTCCACCACCTTTCTGGGTAACCAGTTCCAGTGCTTTACCACCCTCCTAGTGAGAAAATCCTTCCTAATATCTAACCAAAACTTCCCTTGCTGCAACTTCAGATGGTTTAACTTACCCAGTGAAGCAGAAGTGAGTGCATTGTGTGAGGGGACAGGGCAGGACATTCTGGGAACCTGGGACAGCCTTGAGTCCTGCTACCCATTCTCTCGGTTGCTTGGTCTTTGACGTCTAGCACCTTCTGCTTCCTTAGCTGACAGATTATATTAGCATATACTAACTGCAGCATGTGACAAACAGCCCCTTAATAGCAGCTCTGCATGTCATGTGCAGGAAAATATGCCATCCCGTCACGATGCAAGCAACAACAGGGACCGGTCTGTCCAGCACTCTTCCTTGGGACAGGGACTAGAGGAACTAGACGGATCTTTTCCATTTCTACTTGACTGGACACAGGGGTTATAAACAGACATTGTCCAAGGAAGTGGATCAGCCATACTGGGACACATCCCAGCTGATTTGCTTCATTGGGCAAAACAGATGTTGCCCGTTGTCCTGCAGGGACTTCTGGGGACAGCTGGGGCCTGATCCTGTGGGACAACCCTCGGGTACACCTCTGCCAATGGGGGAACCTTGGGTTTCTCCACTAGCAGAGGGATGATTGGGGGATTCCTAGGCATGCCTTGCAACTGGGCAAAACCAGGGGTTCCCCATTTTCAGAGACACACCCCGCATTGGATTCCCCCAGGCACAAGACAGCCGGTGAGAGGAAAGAGCTGAGAGAAGAAGAAGAAACAGGATGAGGAGGCTGCCAGGTTCTCCTTCCACTGCTGGTCAAAAAGGTTTTAAAAGAGGCGGTGCTGTTGGGCCACAGGATGGGATGTTAGGGGCTCTGCAGCAGTGGAGGGTGAGAGCTGAATAGTTCTGGCAGGAAAGAGGAGGAAAATGAAAGTAGCACTTGGGCCCGGTTCTGGTCCCTACTATCCTCTTTTATCCCCAGAGAAGACTTAGTCACCTCCATTCGAAGGGCCCAGTGGAGGAAGAGCTATGGCAGAGTGAGGCGGTGACAAAAGCGTGGGCTGGCATTTTGGGGGGCTGGACAGCATCCACACTACTGGTTTGGATTACACCAGTCCCCATGGGTGACTGGTACCTCCTGAGTCTGGGGTGGGGGGGCACCTTCAGAAGCTGGCATTGGCATTGTCAGTGGGGATGGGGCTGGCAAGCAACCATAGAAGCTGCCGGCGACAGTGGCAGAGGGGGTGGTTCTATCGGGTGGGGGGGGCACATGCCCCCCCCCACCAGTTGCCCATGCCAAAGCAGCCAAAAAATTTAAATTTCATTGCTAACCTCTCTGATGGACATTGGACATCTCCAAGGAAGAAGCCTGCCTAATCTGCATATCACAGAGCAACTCTCCTGCAAAGGAATAAACTTCCAGCCTCTACCTCCCCTGTGCAAAATGAAGTTTCTTTTCTACCTGGGAGGGCTTTTACAATCTTTGAATTCTCCTCAGCCTGAAGAAGGGTGTTTGGACCCAAAAGCTTGCAAAGAGAGATTTTTTTTCCCGCTACTATTTAGTTGGTCTAATAAAAAATATTGCCTCTGATCCAAGAGCTTTGTTCATCTTTAAAGCAGCTGGATCCACTTTTCTCATTAAAACAGAAGAGCCCCCCCGCAACTGATTTTGTAAACTCAGATAACAAAGCCATTGCTGGGCTACTGTACCAGCAGAAGGCAAAGAAAAAATGCTCGCTGCCCTGCTGTGCTCTCCTGGGGAGGGACTAGAGATTAGTCTGCCACTGGGATCTCCCTGTGCCCCTCCTGTTCTATGGGACTATCTGGTCTTGGACAAAGTATCATCTGGCCACACATTGTCTGAGGATTTGCTATCCATGCTAGGAGGGGAAAATTAATGGTTAGATCCCTCATAGTGCAAAATGTACTCTCCAGCAAACTCCAGGGGGACTATCAGTAAATTAAGAAAGAAAGATCTATGTTACCCACTGGTTGTGGGGCAGACTGGAAACAGGACATACAGAGGTATCGTACATAGTAAGTAAGGCCCCTTTAGGCTGCTCTGACTGTAGACCGGCTGTGAATTAACTCCCAAATCAGAGCCCTCTTACACTGCTGTAGTGGTATATGGGGGCTTTACTCTAAAGATGAGTCTAACCCATAAAGTCTATTTCTCTAGTTTTACCCCACAAAGGAAACCATCCTGCCACGAGCAGGGGGCTGGACTAGATGGCCTCAGGAGGTCCCTTCCAGCTCTGCTATGATCCTAGGATATTTCTCATGGTTTGCTCAAGGAATATGTTTGCACCAAGCCCTCTGCTTGGTGTAGAGGAGAGGGGTCTAGATAGAGAGGCTAGGGATAGAGACTCTTTTGGAGGCAGCACCAACACCTCCCGTGTGTTGAGGAAGCTTTAGAGCAATGGCCACATCCATCCAGGGGAAGTGGAAGGTGACAGACGGTATAGGTGCGCCTGGCACCAGCGGGATGCTAGACTCTGCCTTTGCTCTGGAGATTGCATGGGGGGATACTGGACAGTTCATCAATATAAGCACAGTTCACCATGTCTGTGACCGCTTGCAGAAAACCCATTGCATCACAGCACAGCAAGGTTTACATCATAGTGTGACCACATGTCCCCATTTCTGGCTAAGATATCATCGAAGCAAAGACACACAAGCATTTTGGCATTGGGTGGTGGGTTTTCTGGTTGTTTGGTTGGGTTTTTTTTGTCTGCAGTTTAAATGCAGACAGATGGTAGTCCCTAAGGATGCTGTCTTAATTACAGAGGCCTGGATAAGCACTTGACTTATGAATGTTCCTTCTCTGAGAAACCTCCACCCTTCCACAATACATTCCTCCTTTGTACATGCAGAATGCCTCTGTTGTTGTTGGAAAGAGGCAAGGGAGCTCAGTGTGGGATCTCTTAGAGATTAAATAATCTGAATGCAGGCTATAAATCTGCCCAGCTCATTCCAATTAAAGTCAGCAGAGAGACTCCCACAGATCTGAATGGGAATTTGACTTGTATCCAAGTAGGGCTTATGGCTACCCACAACTTTAACCAAGGGCTATGGCTTCTGGAGAGTCCAGATCCCGGCATGCACTGTTCCACCTCCATTTGATCATTTATACTCCAGTGGAGAAGTGCATGTTGGGACCCATCAGCGTTGCAAGGTACAATTCTGTGATAAAGATTAGGAGACTTGCTTTGCTTTATAGGAGGCCATAGTGAGTAATAATGGCCTTGGCTGGGCAAATATGGAGGCTCACCAGTCCGTTGCAGTTGCTGATGGCGACTTTTGAGTTCAGGTAGCGGTCTTGCAAGTGGCCTGCGTAGTGGCAATCCTCGTGGAAGTCGTGCTGCCAGTCCATCCCGTCGCGCTTCCAGTACTCCACCGTGAAGTGCTCAGCCAGCAGGTTCGAATGCAGCGTCAGGTTGAGGAGGAACTGGGTCCGGTGGGCAGAGACTTTGTAGAAGACTTGTTGCTCAGATGGCTCATAGGACAGGGATCCCAGGCTGCGCCGGGGGCGTTGTTTCAGCGGGCTTCTCATGTCAAAGGTGAGGAAGTCCCCGTTTTGGTCCACTTGGATGGGAAAAGCGATTTCATAGTGATCGAGGCTGGAGAGGAACTCCTCTGGCGGGCAAAACAAACACAACAGCAGTGACTAGCTAGCTAGGCAATCTGGCCAACAGACACAATGACGTAGGGGCATGGTGGGCAACAATGGGAAATGACTCCAGCAATGAAAAGCCAGTGCAATTCTCAGCTGCTCGGCCATGTCATGAAGAAAAAAGGTGACCGGCTCTTTCTCCAGAGTAAGGCTGCAGCGAGAATACTGCACGCTCTCTGGGATAGATGTTCAACATCTTTCACAATGGGACCAGTTTCTCTCCTTAGACTCCCTCCCTGGTATTCCTCTTCTCTCCAGCTGGGGACTCGCGTTCACACAGCAGTTTGGGGACACTGGTAAAGTGATCACCAGGGATCCTGGTTTTCCCCGATTAAAAAAAAAAATCCCCAATTCTGGGGTTAGAAAAAGTTACCCAAAATCCACATTTTTCCAGGATTAAAATGAAACACCACTAATGTAAAGATCTATATCTATCTATCTATCTATCTATCTATCTATCTATCTATCTATCTATCTGTCTATCTATCTATCTAGATAGACAGATAGATAGATAAATCTATAGATAGATAGATCTACAGATAGATAAATCTATCTATATAGATAGATAAATAGATAGATAGATAGATATCTATAGATAGATATAGCTATAGATATAGATCGATAGATATCTATCTATAGCTATATCTATCTATATCTATAGCTCTATAGATCTATCTATATGGTGGTGTTTCAATCCCACAAAAATGTACCCAGAACCATACACTGAGGAAATGAGAATGTATTTAGCAAATGAAAATATAGACTGCAGAGCAATATAGAGAGACTCTGTTGCTGTAAAGATAATTATTTATATTATAGCGGTATCATCAACCACTAACGCTCCAATGGATAGGCATGGTTCAGACCCATGGTAGGAAAGTTCCTGCAGTAAAAACCTTACAAGAAAAATAAAGGTGGTAAATCAGAGTCCAAGAACACACAGCAGGCCCAAACCAAGACCGGAAGCCAGGTCCATGATTAAATTGGCGGGTCCGCTAACCACTAGGCCATCTTGCCTTTTCAACTTGCCCGCTCTCATTGCTTTTTGACACATCCGTTTGTCCTACCACGCTGTCTATGGACACTTCAGTCCCTGAGTCAGCCTCGCACCACGGAGCAAATATGATTTGACAAGGATGCAGTCCGCAATGTATGCCTGTGCTTGCATAGTAACATAACACCTTTCCCTGTCAAAGAAATTGGCTCTTTGCAGTGTCTAGAAACATGTCTCGAACGACCAGCAAACTGTCACAAGAACTGCCAGAGCAAGCCTGTCTAGATCTGTCTCTGACAGTGGCTGCATCCAGATGCTTCGGAGGAAGGTACAATGAGTCCTTTGGCAGTTTATGGGGTAACCTGCATTTGGCAGCTCCTGGGTAACCTTCCTCCAGGGAACTCTCCACCTAACTCCCCACAGTTTGGCGTGGGTCTATGCTGAGAAGCAGGAATGATTCATGGTGTGGAATGGACGTCTCTACCCTGCCCTCAAACTGGAAGGGACTTGCTGTACTTTCTGCATCTTTTTCTTTTTTTACCATTGTTTTCTAAGCAAACAGGGAGAGGTCGGGCTGCCTTGCAGTGGCTGCATTTTGCCTGACTCCACGCCACCCATCTTCAAAGCCTTCCTAGCCATCATAAATTTGGACTCCAAATCGCACTCTCACCACATGCCCGGCTCTGGAAAGTTTGCTTTCCTTCTAGTGTGTTTTCCAGTGTGGGATCTGACCGTGGTTTCCTCGGCCACCGCTAATGGGTGGGTCCTTCCCACTGCCTGGGTTTAGGGGTTAGCTCCTGACCTTCCAAGCCATAAACACCTCTGGCACCTATCTTTGGCCTGACCAACCAGAAGTAATGATTTTTTTTTTTTTTTATTCCCCATGCTTCGGCTTCCTCCGCACCATCCCACATCGTGTGTAATGAAGCCGGGCAAACGAACACAGCTATTTCCACTTAAGTCATGACTTCAGGCCTGGAAAAACTTGCTACTATTGGAAGCATTTTCTTTTTCTTTCTCTCCTCCAGTCCACCACCTGGACATACACAACAGTAGCTAGGAATAGAGGCTGTGCCAGTGGGGAACCAGGGGTTGGGCTCTCTGATAATGACTTTCTGTTCATCATGGCATAGCCAGGAAGGCTGGTAGAGGAGGTAGGAAATGAGCCTGGATGGGAGAAACTTGGGTTCAGGTCCCTGCAGGGCCATCAATGCCCTGAGACACTGGGTAAGTCACACAGGGTAGATCTATGCTACTTCCGTGATGCTGGTCTGAAGTCCTTGCCTGTTGATGCAACCCCAACCTGGATTTGCAGCAGTGCTGTCAGAGATCACAGGATCATAGGCAAGTGGGACTGGAAAGGACCCTTTGAGGTCATCTGGTCCAGCCTCCTGCTCATGATGTGCCTAAGAAAGCTAGAATCTCTGTGGGTTTGCCTGTGCAGCAAAATGAAGGTGTGATTCCCAACACAGGCAGCTGTTTCTTCACCCCGCACTCCTTCCTCGTTGCCTCTTGAATCAAGGATCTGGTTAGCAAATGAGAAGGAAGCTGTAGCTTCCCCTGACCTCGTTACCTGAAAAGAGGTGAACCCTGGCAACAGCCCATTCACTCATTAAAATCACCTCTGGTCCCCAAAGGCTCTAGGACTAAATTAGGACAACCTAATGCACAGCATTGGCATGGCCAGATCTGACGTCCCTTCCTACTGCTCCCTCCTCCTCCTGAACTGCTGTTCCTCTCCATGGCATCGCCTCCTTCTCATTCCTACCATATCATTCCCACTTGATTATTGCAGGCCCTTGATCTCCAGGCATCATGCCTCCCACCTCATCCACCTCTACTCAACCATAAGCCATCTAAGTTAACCAACTTTATGGCCGTGCTCCTCCTTTGTCACCTTGTTGCTTCTCACGGCAGGTTCTTAAACCTCATTTTTATCTTCAAGACTCCCCAGAACTTAGGGCCCTCCTACCAGCTGGCAACTAGAATAAACTGAGTTAAAATCATCAACGCTGGGGCCAGTGCCCAAGGGGTTGGTCATAAATACATTTACTCAACAGAAACGGTCATCAACTTTTCAAGTCTGGAGACTTGGGTCCTAATCCTGACTTGAGTCAAATGTGCAAGGGTGTTTGGCAGCCTCAGTGTATTTCCTGCTTCTGCATATCACCGAACAACTCCAGAGTTTGGCAGAATAGACTAAGACGGCCTTTACTTAGCAGAAGCCCAAGGCTAGAATAGTAAAGGTACATTGCGTCAGGACCCAAGTGCATCGAATGACCGGCAAAGCGACCCAAGACTGGATTGAGATGAACTAGCAAATTGAGCGGGGCTAAGAATTGGAGGGGGTGCTGCAGGTTAACACTGCGGTGGTTTGGCATGGAGGAGTTGTCATTCAGATGTATTTGGTGCGGCGAACAAGGCGATGCAGATGGAGGGAAGTTGAACTGACTGCTGCGGGAAGCCCAGTACATTAAAAACAGGAATTGCCAGAGTCTTTGGCGAAGAGCACCAAAACCCAGGCTTGTTTCAGATGAAGTTTGTCTTCTGCCTTTACAAAGCTGTGAACTGTGCCGCATCTGCAATTATTCTGTCTCCGGTCACCTCTGTTTATACCAGCATATGCGGCAATGGGACAGCTCTACACATTTGGCACTGATAAAGCATTGCAACCCCAGTGTGTTTTGTGGCTTTTCATTTTGTCTTTGTTCAGCCTCACTCGGCATTAACTGCCGGCGGATAACTTCAGATGTATGCAGGGGGCCTTAATACATCATGGAGTGTAGCCCTACTGCAATTAGCTGCACAGCCTCAACTGCACACAGTGTCTCACAGTCAATCCAGCATCTGGACAAACACAGTTAAACACACATGCTCAACACGTATGCTGGCACGCACAAAAAGCATCCAGTCCATATATCCATAGCCAGAGGCAAACACATACGCACAGATGGACATTCACTGCCAGGTAGCATGTGCACGTGTTCATGGAAAGGGGACATACACACATGCAAGCACCCACACTTATCCGCACACCCACAGAAAACACCCCCGCAAGCGCTGAAATGGAGGCCTGCAACCGTGCATACACAGATGCTCGCAAGCACGTGTCCACCTGAACGTCTTCGTTTTTGGAAGGCTCTTCGCTATAAAGTTTGTCTTCACATTAGGATGCTTCATTCATCTGAAATGCAATGGCAGCTCTCTCTCTATTACTATCTGGCCCAAAGACCCTTTTTGCTTTCAAGGAGGCAAGCAGCCCAGCTCTCTAGCTATCATTTGATACAGCTCCTGGCTACAAGGACCTGAAAATCCCAGACCAAAATTATTTCTTTTTCATTGGTGGAAGGGTATTCCTTTGCCGCAGACACAGCTGGGACGGCACCAGGGGCTCCACTACTGCCGGTCAAGCAGGGTGGAGTGCAGTGGTCAGCATAACAGGACTCGCACAGGAGGTTCCCCATGCGCACACCAGCATTGGGAACTATCTACTGAGACACGACGGTCCAGCCCACTTTCCCCTTCCCCATGGCAAACCCCTACCTTGTGACTGGAACGTGTAACCAGGAAAGTTGCACATGGCCGTGGTGAAGATGACAGTCCACGTCAGGAGCCTCCAAGCTATTGCCATAGTTTGCGATGCTTGTCTCAGTGCAGGGAGTATTGTACCAGCCTAAAGAGCTCTGTCCCAACATGTCTCTCTTTGGGCCACTGCTTATGTAGAGACAGGAGTCCTCAGTTGCTTCGCAGACATCCTCAGCCACTCCGTGCTCTCCCCAAAGCAGCGAGGCTGATAGAGTCGTTATATTGTACTGTACCCAGGCTGGCGTAATGGCTTCAGCGTGTGCTAATTAGCATCAAAGCCTCTCGGCGGCATTGCCCCTGTAGAAGAGAGGATGAGGAGGGGGAGAACAAGGACTGGAGAAAAGGGGAGGGGGGGAAGAGTAAAAGAAAAAAAAAGCTAAAGAAAGTAGACTGAGAAAGAAGGGAAAAGTGAGAGAGAGGGAGTGTGAAAAAGAAGGCAAGTGGGGAAAAGCGGGCAAATGAAATCAAACAAGTCAATTCACAGCTTTTTCAAGCCACATTATTCTAGTGCCCTGATAAGCCTGCCAGGGACCTGACTCTCTGTCACCTGCATCTTGCGCCATCATTTACACCCGTTCAGGTTTGGTAACGCTTTAGTTCCCGCATACACACATTGGCTTAAATTCTCAGTGCAAAGGGGCCTCCGAGGTCTGCTAATGTGTTGTACACTGCTAAAGGGGTGTAAAGGGGCCTTAGGGGAAATGGGAAGATGTTGGCCAGTGATGGACACCATCAAGAGCTACCTGATCTCCTAAAACTGAACCATAAACCTAGACTGCTGTCCCTGCTGAACCATTTTAGGAGACTTCAGGACTACGATTGGGAAGCTCTCCCTTAAAAAATTCCCTCTGCAAAATGTTGGAGGAGCTGGCACCAGAGCAGAGGTATTGAGAGATGAAAAAGGAAGAGCAGAAAAGGCAGCAAGAGTGGCATGGAGGCCTGCGGTATAGTGGAAGTCTCCCACAAAAGTCTCCCCTCCCAGTGCCACGTGTTTCCTGCCTGCAGGGGAATTGTATCTGTCTATGGGCAGTTGGAGCCAAGAACAAATCTACTGCTATGATGTTCATTGGACTATGTTAGGTTCCCAAACTGGGCTGCACATTTTGGCATGCTCTCCCAAGTGGTAGCACCACTTGCCTCCATTAAGCCATCATTAGGTACCAGGCATTTCAATGTATAACTGAGACATCATCATCATTGGTGTTACAACAAAAAATAGATGCAATAAATAAATGGTATTGGGTAGAAAACCCAGCTTTTTAACAGATCCCACCATCCCACCTTCTGACCCCTTTGCTCAGCATCTTGGCTAGAGTTACCCAAAGAATTCAAATCAAAGCAGTCACTGAATTTTGCCCTTCGCTCTACAGATGATGAGATTCTTGATTGCATTTGTTATTCAAAATGATTAGTGAATTGCTTCAGTGAAAGCTGTCCGGCTTGCAGTTCACTTTTGGCCAGTCTATGGCAATTAGAAACAATTTTCATAGTGTTAGATAGCTGCAAAAGTCACGTGATTTTGTTTCTGTTCACCAGTTGGGCAACTTCTACAAATATCCAATGCATCCTATGTTTAACTTATGGATACAGAATCTCAAAGTCATTTCCTGCCAGTATTGGAGATAAAAATACCCCATTTGTGGATATCCTCATGCACAAATAACCAAGTGCAAATTGGAAATGCAAGCACAGAAAAGGTGACAGGCACAAACTGAACCTTGATTTCAAGTCTGAACAGTCAGCGACATTGTTTCACAGGATTTGCTCAGGCCCGGTACTGCCCATTTCTGCTTCCAGTCCTGGAGGGAAAGTGTGGAGGGGGCATTTTTGAACCTCAGGATAAGATCTACTTGACGTGTGTGTGTGTGTGTGTGTGTGTGTTTTGGCTCAAGGATTGAGAATGGAAGTGGTTTCTACGTTATCCGGAGCGATCCAACTCAACTTATCCTGCTGAAGAAATGTGTTGAATAATGAAGCATTTTGAATCATTAAATCATTGCCTTGTCCAGATTTCATAGATTCGATTCCTCTTGTGTCTATCTCGTAAAGGAGGGCTGTGTAGTCTAGTGGCTAGACTTCAGGGCAGGCCTCCTGAGTTCTCCCCAGCTCTGTCTTTGACCTCTGACTCATCCATAGTCCCTCTGAGCATCAAGTTCCCCATCTGTGAACTGTAGCTAATCCTTGTATGGTGGCAGCACCTAGGATCTCCAGTTTGGGAGCAGGGCCCCCCAGTGCTGGGCACTGTAGCAAGAACAAAAAGATGCCCCAAGGAGCATACAATCAGTTCCCTTCCTCACACTGGGGCTAGCTGTCTTAACTGTTCCCTTAGATATCTGAGCACGTTTACACCGTGTGATCTGCTGCTCGTTTGCACCCAGATCATAATGGAAAATCTGCCCCAAGGGCCTTTCAAGATCCTGCAGCAGGAACACGATGCTGCTTTGGGGATGTTACTTGGAGGACTTTAAAAACCACAGACAGGGCATGAAACCACTTTAGCAAAAGGTTGCAGACACTGGGCTACATGGAAGAACACAGAGAAGAGTCCAGCAAGACTTTGCAAGCTAGTGGGAGGACAGCAGATGACAGTCAAAGTGAACAACTTTCAGCTTACAGCAAATTGCCAATTCTGCAGCAAGCCAAAGGACCCTGAACAACTATATTTGTACCTGTGCTTATAAGCTCTGTGGGTTAAATTTGCTTTATGGACCTAGGTTTAAGGAGCTAAAACCAAGGTTAAAGTCTCTTTCTGGGCACCCCTACCATCCAAGAATTTAAATAGCATGACCTTCTATTTAGTCTCATAACAACGTTTCCTTGAAGCATTGAAAAGTCAGGAAACAAAGCAATACAAATAAACGTAGCACTGCATTACATCAAATACTAATTGGACAGCTGGAGGGATTAACTGTACTGCATACTCAAGAACGCTAGAGGGAGCCCGGAGAAGAAATCTGGAATGAAAAATGAGACAGCAAGGTCATTTGGGAGTTTCTTGGGGACTTCCATAATGGTCTGCATCACCAAAGCCTGGCTCGGTAACCACAAGCCCTATCATGGCTGATGCTGTCCTTTCATGCTACAATGCCTGTTGCCATCTAAGAAAGAGAAAACCCAAGGTTAGGGTGGCTGTGTTAGTCCCAACCTTCTTCCATGCAAGAGGCTTCCTTTAGAGCAATGAATGTCCCAGGAGTTCTGCAAACCCAACGTCCTCATCCACGTCCTTCGAATTCACAGACTTCCAAAAATTAAGGATTTCCCAGTAGAACTGAAAGTGAGAAATAGTCTCTAGGGTGGCAGTGGAGTTATTATGGGTCACTGCTCTCTATGGGTCACAGTTCTTAGGGGTCACAAAGATTTCAATGCATGGACCAACAGCTCTGCAGAGAAACCAGCACGGAGCTCCGTCTCATTCCTCTCCTCCTTGGACTTTCCCCTGGTAGCCTCTAGTCCTGTCTACTTAGCCTGTCACACTTATGACTTTATCTTCAGCCTAGATTTGGACACAGGCATTGTTATGTAGCTCATGAGTGCCCTGGCCTGATTGTCAGCTCATCCAGGGTAAAGTGAGGTATTGCCCCCTCCAGTCAAAATAGTCCGACCATGAAGACTCAGCCAACTTGCAAGTCTTTTAAAAAGAACTCAATACTCAAAGAAATGACCAAGGCATGGAAACCCAGTCAGGTATTATAATACTGCATACTTCCCACTGCCATTGACTCCTTAGCAATATTCCCCCTTCTGTTTCAGCTTGCCCCATAGATGCCCATGCCTTTAGAGGGCCATGGTGTTAGAGGACCTTTAGAGGATGAAGCTGGAAGGTCAGTAACAGAGCATGAACGGCCGTGCACAAAAGCATAAGGAGGTTTTTTTCTTGAGTCAAGCAATTCCAAGATGGCCTATCAAGGATGAAAACACTGATGCACATGCATAAAACCTATAGTTTCATTTCTTTCTCTGTAGGTTTCCGGATGTTTACATAATGTGAAGCACTGGAAGAGCCACAAGAGCTAGAAGCTACTGCGTGCAGTCCTATCCCATACCCATTTTGGCTGGTGAAGAACAGCCAGGAAATCTTGGGCTCTCCAGTTGCAGAAATGTTATAATTTATGTTTCTTTGGAAGAATGTAGATGTCTTCGCTCTCAAGAATCCACAGACTTCAGGCAGTAATTATGAAACCAGCACTTGACATAAACTTGGCCAATCATCCAACATGGCTAACTACTGCCTGGTGTCTTCACTTCCCATTTCTAAATGAGGTGAATGACAAGCTAACAAAGGGCTAATTCCAACAACACCTGCACTGCATCAACACTCTGTACCCCTTCAAATATTAGGCCAGGATACAGTTGAGACATGGCCTTAGTCATTTGGATAATGCTCTTGAGGAGATGACATATTCATGGCTCCAGTGCCCCCTCCCAGAACAAACCCAGAGGGCTGCAATATTAGGTGGACATAGAGCTAGGCTAAGGTGGACATAGAGCTAGGACCAGCGTCCAAAATTAAAGATAATAAAAAGTCCTTTTTCAAATATATAGGGAGGATGAAGAAAGCACCGGGAAATGTGGGGCCCCTGCAAGATCCTATGGGCAATCTGGTGGTTGCGCCAGAGGAGAAAGCAGACCTCTTTAACCAATTCTTCACCTCCGTTTTCTTGTGCAGGGACTGGGACTTCCCCCACCGTGATGCAAGACGGACTCAAGGGAAATGCCTCCAGACCTCAGGTTGGGGAGGACCAGGTTAGAGAGCTTCTGGAGGGGCTGGACGTGTTCAAATCAGCGGGTCCAGATGCTCTCCACCCCAGGGTGTTGAGGGAGCTAGCAGGGGTTATTGCAGGGCCCTTGGCACGGCTTTACGAGTGCTCATGGTGCTTGGGCCAGGTGCCAGATGATTGGAAGATAGCTAACGTGGTCCCCATCTTTAAAAAAGGGAGGAGGGAGGATCCAGGCAACTATAGGCCCTTCAGT